AAGAGTGTATAAGGGAACACACAAATACACAAGGACAGATGGCATTATCTTCATACAAAGCATCCCTCTTTTTGGCGCAGCCTGACTTCACACACAAAGACATACCATTTAAGGAATATCCAGTCCTAGGAATACTGAGAGGGTTTTATTCAGTTGTCGTTTCTATTGACTTTGTCTTAACGTGTACTTCATACTTGGTTTCAGGGAAGGTTAACCTATGTTCAGGTTGTGTTTTCTCCAAAGATGGTGAGGTCTTTGATTTAACTAGCTGGGAAACAGGTGGATGCACCACAAAAGCCTTGTCACCTAAAAATGACAGACTCTACCTCCATTGTATTTATAGCATCCCCATTAGGTTCATATCGATAAACACCACAAATAGACTTTAGAACAGAGAGAATCGAGAAGCCTTCTTCTAGCTCTCATCTGCTCAGACTTGAAAATATATGATTCAAGAGAAGACTGCAAATTTAGGATCTAAATGTTGTTGGACCAGAACTTACCAGCTGAAGACTGTTTAGGATATTTATGAAGGAACCTAGTGGACCTCTGTTCAGCTTCTGGTGGAGAGGTAGAAATACACATATCAGAAGGAACATCCTTCCTGACAGTCCCACCAAAGAAACCATAAAATGAGAAAGCGCAAAACCAGAAACAGTCCCAAAGCCCTGATGAAGTTTCCGCTGAATGCTGAGGCACATAGGCTCTGTGGAGAGATGTAACTCTCTGGGGTATGCAACTGTGCACAGCACTTTATATAGTAATTAAAAAGAAAGAAACAAAGCGTTCTGTTAAAAAGACTGCCAGTTCCCCAGAGAAAATAACTTTGTGTATCACTTTATGCTAGTGGAAACAGAATAGAAAACAAAATACCACAGAGTTACATACATGTTCTTTCTCTAGAAGTATTTACAAATAACTTTACAAATTTTTACACACATTTTCAGGTTTGTTTGTTTACTTTTAAATTAAGAGCAAAATTAGTCCCCAGAGGCTTCTAAGGCTTCAGTTGGTGCCTTGTACTGTACATTCATGCTTGGCTTCTTCCTGGGAGAAGGGAGGAAAAGAGTTCAAAAATGTGCAAAACACAGACATCTAGAGAGCCCTGGATGTAAGGGTTCCTAGAGACCGACAGCCATAGAGCGGTCGTCCTACTTCTCTTCAAATCAGAGACAGCTACTGGTGGTGGGCTCAGGGCAAAAGAGATTAGGGAGGGAGAAGGAGCCATATATGAGTTGCACTAATTAGATGAGTACATTAGTGCTGGAACATCTGGGTAAGAAGTCATAGATCAATTCCTACTGCATACAGCAGTTCAAACAACGCAAGGAGTGGACATCATGAATTCTAAACACAGCATTGAAATGATCTCTTGTACACTGTTAGAGTTTGACTCCTGCTGCATATTTTGGAGTCAGAATTACTGTTCACTGACACAATCTTGACCAGGCACAGTATGATTCTATCAGTCAAAAAATACTGACTTTTTTGAGAAAGACGCTCCTTTCTCCTAGTTTTCACAGGTTGTTTTGTTTTCATGCCTTAACACTAAATGTTGTAAAAATATTGAAATTAAAAAAGAAAAAATTTACAATTTACAAGTGTCCATATAAGTAAATTATTCAAAAATTCAAGATCATCTACAAGGGTCTACGAAATAACAATGCTGATAACGACACTGAGCCTGTGGGAAGAACAATCCACATGCCGTGAGAAACGGATGGTGGGTTTCTTCCAGAACGATGAGTCACAAGGTTGGTCTTTTCTTCTAAAATCTGGTTCTTCAGCTACAGCAGCAGAAGTCTTGAGTCCTTCATTACTTACTTCGACCTAAAAAGCAGAATATATGAATTACTTAAAAAGGAAAACCTATTCTGTTTATCTTCTCATTTGTGAGATGTAAATTCACACCAGCTGACACATTAGTAACTAATGAACAAGTAGATAAAACACCTCTGGTGACTAATTTCCTCAGCTGTAAGACCCACATATAAGGTCAAGAATGAATGGCTGGGTACAAAGTGGTAGCTTTGTCTCATGCATACCACAAAGGCAAAAAAACATTTGGGGAAAAATACCACAGATAGTGAAACATGTCTGAAGCTCACATAATAATTGATCCTTTTCAGCATAATATATTTTAACAGTATAAGATATATGTTCACCAGATAAAATTTTGACATGACCTGAGTACAAACATGAGCATTTGAGCTGGACTCACACTATTTATAGTCCTCACCGCAATCACACCCCTGCTGAATCTATGTATTCTCCCATGACTTACTGTAAACCATGTTCACTTGTGTAATCTTGGAAAATCTATGATGGTCTTTCATAGAGATTTTACAGTGGGTAGAGCCTCAGGAGAAGATGCAAACAGGATGGGATCGCACAGACCCATCACAGGGCAGTGACCTCTCCACTGGCAGAGTTTCTCAGACATCGCATTAGTCCCATGAGCAGAAGCTAGCAATGCCCTTGGAAATGCTGGGGACACTAGTAGCACTGGATCAGACCTACTCATCCAAACAGCAATGGGGCACATGTAAACTTTAACTTCTGCGCATTGCAGCAAATAATAATGATAATGATAATGATAATGATGATAAAAAAACATTATGCAAGCCAAAATGCAACTTTTTTTTTCCTTATAGAATCACAGAATCATAGAATCATTTAGGTTGGAAAAGACCTTTAAGATCATCAAGTCCAACCGCAAACCTAACATTGCCAAGTCCACTACTAAACCTACTAAATCATGTGCCTAAGCGCCACGTCTACATGTCTTTTAAATACCTTCAGGGATGTTCCGTACTTCCCTGGGCAGCCTGTTCCAATGCTTGACAACCCTTTCGGTGAAGAAATATTTCCTAATATCCAATCTAAACCTCCCCTGGCACAACTTGAGGCCGTTTTCTCTTGTCCTAATTTCTTCTAATCGCCATGCTTCTCTCTTTTCCATGTAGCAGTACATGAAGTAATTCTAATCACTACTGAGTGACCTGGCTTTTGACATTGTGCTTGAAACAGATGAAAACACAACAGTCTTCTTTATAGTCCATGTGCTTTAGTCCCAAAGAGAACATGACAATTTTTTTCCACTCCCTCTGTTGTTTCCTGCCTTACACACATCTTAATTGAAACTGCACTGTTCAGGGCAAAGATCCTGCTTCTCCTTGTCTGGTAGCCTAGTGGGGTTATAGGCAGAATGAAGAACAAACAGACAAACTATGATCATTCATATTTGCATTAAAAAATGTTCCCCGAGAGAATAAGTTCAAATTTAACCTCTTCTCAGGGGTGAAAAGGAAAACTAATCTTAGACTTGCTAATCATTAATAATTACGGCAGCACTAAGCAGACATTATACTGAATATGAGTACTAAGCAAAAACAGACTACATAGTCTGGATGAGGCCACAGAACCTTGTATTTTCAATGGGCTATTTTTAGTTAATTTATGAATGAAATGAGGGAAATAAAAGGGGTGAGAAAAAGGGAAATAAAGGCAAGCTTTCATCTATAAAAAGGCATCACGCTAATTTTTGCCATGAGTAAAGTGGTAAGGATGGCAAAATATCTGTAATCTTTATTAAGGCTTTGCATGTATTTAACAAGCATTATTCATGTTCAATTCTAAGAGAACAGAAATGGAGTTTTTCACAGCCTGGATACCAGAAGTCACATGTCTTAGGGATACTATGGATTCTCAGACTATATATAACTGATACAGATAGCAATTAACTTATCAAAAGAAGTCAAGAAGGCTGATGTGCTGCAGAGAGATAAGCACCTCCAAGTTTCTGGCACAATCCACTGACTACTCAAATTGTTTCCAGCAATTTGGCTTTTAATTCGGTCTTTGATCACTGATAGTATTTTTCCTCCCTGCTTAGGTAAAGATCCTCTCTGTATCTTTCAGTGCATAAAAGCAAAATATCAATAAAGAAGAAAACACAATATAATTTTTCTTCCAGTTTTACACTCCTAGCAGCCATAAAGAGGCCAAAGAGGGTGCTCCCAGCTGTATAAGAATACCCATACATGGGAAATGGGAAGATGCCATCTATTTTCCAGTATTGCAAGCTCACCGACAACCCCAAAATCCTTTGAGCTACTTAACCAAAACCTGCTATCAAAGAGCAAATTCTCAGATTCTGTGACTTTCCTACTGCAAAACAAATTAACAGATTTTGCAGGAACGTATATATGTCTTTTGTGAAAATGTCTTTTTTTTTATCTCCTTTAGTTATAGCTAAGTTTATTAAGAAAGTACTAAACACTTATTCACCTAATACTTTAAAATTAACCTCAATGCAGGTTTAGAGATTAAAATCTTTTATGGAGAGGTGTAAATGTTGCAGCTGTGGCTTTCTTCCTCCTGGATACCAATTTCACTTTTTCAGTCTCTTGCAGCTTATTCAGAATGGTCAAAAACCCCTTTTGCTGTCATCTTTCCCACAGAAAATGCAGCAAAATTGGCACTTAATGAAACACTACTGTAAATGCAGATTCCAGTGTAGAGGGTGTACTTAATGCCATGTCAAACTGTTCATTGTTTCATTTTGTTGTCTTAATGTGATATTTCTTCCTGTTCTAACATACACCGTCATACTGAGATAGGGCTTTTCTCCTTTTCAAGCCTTCATAATCCTACAATATTTACTCACTAAATTTGACTGAAAGTTTGCTGTGTTTGTTTCTACAAACTGAAAGCTGAAGCATGAATAAAATATATTTAAAAACCATGCAAAAATTAATGAAGTCACAAGCAAAGTTCAGGTGTCAAGTGCCCACTCAAAACATTTGGTTAGCAGTTGTCCACTTTAAATTAAAACTCCCAGCACACGCACACATGTGTACACCAGGAAAAACCTTCAAACCCATTTTAATTCTCTTAACTGGCAAGTAAAATACAGTAAGTCATTAAATCAGTTTCAGTCAATTAGCTGCACGTGGGTTTCATGTTACATTTAAGATGCATAAAAGACCCGAAGGTAAATTTAAAGACAGAAAGCATCAGGGCAACGATTTACAAGGATCTAAGAAGAATTTCCAAATTAACATCTTCTGTTTTACCACTAATACTTTGAAATATCATCTATTTGAAGTTATCTGAGCTTCTGCCAAAATATATGTACTAGTAATGCCTCCCCATATCTTAATTTATTCCAAATAAAATGAATAGATACACATCCAAAATTATTCATTAGGTAGCAGAGTAGGAAAAGCCTATGAAAACATGTGGTTTTCATGGTTGGAGCACATAAGTGATGACAAAGAGATAATGAACTTCCAGTGAAACTCTACAGATAGATAGATTTTAAGCTGACTAGCAGTTTTTCAGCAAACCTTTTTCTTTCTGTAGCTAGACAAATGTAAAAGCTTCTGCTTTTCCGTAAATGGGTTAATCTCATTAAGGTTTATGCAGCAGCAGCAGCCATAAACCAGCTCTTTTCTTGCTAAAAAGTCATCAGGGAAGCAATTCCATCCTTCACTGTGAGCCTCTCCTTGCGTTAAGCCAAGGCACGACATGGCAGACATGGGGATATCTACTAATCCCTGCTTTAGCAGATATGTCATCAATGACAAAGTGTCCTTACTTGCATGTTTTATGTGGATTAATTTTTAATTAAGTTCTGATTAAAATATAATTAAATTATTAGTAACCTGATGCCAAAATTATTTCAGGAGAAGGTTAGCTTTCAGTCCAGTTAGAAGGATTAATGTGGTCCATAGGACCAGAACCTTACCTACAGGCTTTACAGGCTTTAACTCAACATGTTCCTGGGGGGGCTGTCGGTAGGAGTATGTGTCAAGTCCGCCTATGAAATCAACTGAAAATACAACAGTTCCAGAAATGAACAAATGGAAATGAAAATATGTCAACTGAAAAAGAAATATGGACAAATTATGTTAAAAAAAATAGTAAGCGCATGCACAGGTTTGCATACAAGAAATAAACCAAGTAGGTAAAGGTGCTGTGGAAGCTGCTTACAGAAGGCTCTGTGCTCTGTCTTCCCTGGGGTCCATTTAGCCCTGTGCCTGGCAAGACAGGCGTGCCGTTGGCTGACCAGACATGCACACTCCTGCCAGTGGGCATGCAAAAGGAGCATCCACGGATCTGCAGAGTACGTAAACAGAAGCCACTGTGGGCTAATGTAGCTGCTTCTCTTTAGGGCAATCTCAGCATGTATTTCATAATTCACTTTCAACTCCTTTTGAAGTGTTTAGAAATGTAGGCAGTGGAAACAGTTTAGCTCGTGAGCCTAATTTCACCTAAACTTTTACGACTCTGTGGACTCGCAGGAATGTAACTCACTGAAAAAACCCAAAGGTGTGTCTGCTGAGTTAAGAATAAACAGGTGAGAACTGAATGTGAAAAAGCAGCAGCATCTTCTCCGGGTGAACTTGTGGGGACAGGAAGCTTTTTCAGAATCCTTTCACTTTCTCTCAAGATTTCTATGTCAGAAATAATGTGGGGATATCTGCTCTTGAGAAGTTTTTAGTTCCTTCTGTGGTCATAATGATTTTAAAATAAGACATTTTAGCCTGCGTCTTGTATCTTGTTATTTTTGGTAAGATTTTAAGCAGCTTCAAGAAGCCACACGTCCAAGATATCCTAGAAATCTTAAAAGCATGTTCATGGGGAAAGTTATTTTTCTGTTGGTTTAGAAAGACTTTTTTTCAGACCCGTGCAGAGCTGACAAATTCACAGCATGTTAGGATTCTTTGGTCACATAGAAAGCAACTGCCTTCATTTGTTTATATATAGGCATATACACAAAAGTCCTAAGCAGAATTTAGATCCTCATTGTTTTAATCTCCATA